AAGAACTTTGGGTGCTGGGAGGTGCCAGCTGGAGGTGTCTTAGCTTGGATTAGGTTTAGGAATATCAATTGTTTTATCCAGAGCTTCAGACTAGACCTGGAAAGCCACATCCTATGAACCTCCTGGCTACACCTCCTTCAGTGCAGACATGAAGCAACACTCCTGTGGCCGAGCACCAGCAGGACAAAAGGGAAGCTCCAGGTGAGCTAAGTTATAAATGATCCTCATTTATTATAGAGTTGGATAGTCAGCCACTGTAAATCCCTGACTCCAGCCCCACCAGCCTGCTCCTCGGCTCCTTTATCCCTGGAAGTGCTCAAGGCCAGGTTGGATGGGACTTGGAGCAACCAGATGTACTTTGGTTTTGTGTTCTTTCCCTCTCCTGCTTTTTTTTCTCCTTAATCCCTCATTTCTTCTCAACCTTTTAAGCTCCCTCTCTACAGGCAACACAACCAATGTATCTGAGCAAGGCCCTGGAATTCCTGCTGGGGAACGGAGGTTGTTATATCTTAGGGAGAACTCCCTGCCCTTCCAGGACCCCTTCGGACCCGTTCTTTGCTATTTATCCACAGTTAGTGCATATCAAGGAGTGGCAGAAAGTTGCAGTCAGGAGGTTCTGGGGTGGCAACTTGCAGCTCTTCCCAAGGAGCTCCAGGCAGAGGGAGATCAGTGCCCATGTTCCCGTCTCGTGTGTGGGAGGTGGCCCAGAGACAGTGCAGAGACACGTCTGTGTCTCTGAGGCTCCAACTGGAGTGTCTGGAGGATCCAGCCAGAGCTCTGCTGGAGGGGTCCACCAGCCCAGGTTGCTCCAAGCCCTGTCCAACCTGGCCTGGGACACTTCCCCAGGTGGGGCAGCCACAGCTCCTCCACTCAGCTTCTCCTCAGCAGCAGCCACACTTGGAGCTCTGCTCCTGTCCTCCCTCTTGTTCAGCAGAGCTGCTTTAGAAATCCGGTGCTGGCTGAATTTCTAATCCTTAAAACATTCGCAGGAACACAGGTTTCATCCCACTCAGTGGATTATCCCAAAGAATAAGAAATATTGGCACAAACATTGCTCTGGTTGGGGTTTATTCGATAACAAAGGGAATAATCAGGAAGCACAGGAGAAGTCTGGGGGCCTGACACAAAAATCTGATGGCCCTTGATGCGATGACATCTTTCCTCTTCCTGAGTGGATTAAGAAAGATCTACTTCCAAATTTATAGAATTCCAGGATCACTGAGGTTGGAAGAGACCTCCAAGGTCATGGAGTCCAAGCTGGGACTGATCCCAGAGCACTGAGTGCCATGACCAGGCGTTCCTTGGACACCTCCAGGGATGGGGATCCACCACCTCCCTGGGCAGCCCCTTCCAAGGCCTGACCACCCTTTCCAGCAGGAAATTCCTCCTGGTGTCCAACCTGACCCTCCCCTGGCACAAGAAATTTGTTTCCCTCCAAAACATTGTAACAGGTTTGCCATGAAAATTAATTTGAGTAAAATTTCCTTCCTCGTGTTCATCCCAAATAAACAACTTCTCCCAGACCTGGAAATGATATAATTGTGTGTCCAGTTCACAGTATTTAAATCCAACCTCAATCTCTTTATTAAGTACATGTATTTTTTTTAAGGTTAGATTATGTCCTAGGCCGTTCCCATAAAGCAAGGGTTGGAATGTCTATGGTTTAATAAAAGGAGATTAATATGGAAATGAAACAAATCTACTGTTAGAAAAATAAGCAGAATCAAAATCCATTTAACTGAAACCTGCAGCTCTTTGTATTTAAATCATAATACACTTAGAGCAGCAGCTTCCCTAAAAACTGTCCTTGTCCCAGATAGCCCTTTATTCTTCCTTCTGTGTTCCTTGTCAAGGAGCTAATTCAGGCAGCTAATTGGGAGAATAACTAATCCAGCCACCATGTATTCCCCCAATTATTCCCTTCTTCATCCCTTTCCTATTCTTATTCCCATGTATTTTTTCCAGGAGCTTGTAATTCCATTATAAGTACAAGCGAGGGATGGCAGTGCATGGTGCTCAAACCAAGGGTGTCTGGTGAAATTCTGGGGGTCTGGGATCAATAATAAATACTAATAAGACAAATAATATATAAAAATAATGTATTATAATAGCAACCACCTTTTTTTGCCATCAATGGAGGGACTTCAAAGACCACTCAATAATTTAAATAATACCGTGTGGGTGAATAAACTGTTAAATCTCGTAAACTCCCTCCAGATGATATTCCCAGAGAAGCTGTGGCTGCCCCATCCCTGGAAGTGTTCAAGGCCAAGTTAGAATAGGAATCCACAGCTTTTCTGGGCTGTACTTTAGTCACCAACTAGATTCCAATCAGTAGGGAAATAATAACAATAATTGTGTTTTTTAATTGCTTTTCACTGTTTAATCTGCTTTGACACATCTCCAAACAACATCCCTCTATAATTTAATGAAATATGTATATAAATGTTTTCAGGGAAAAACATATTTCCAGATGCTGGTTCTTTAGGAAATAGGAAAGATTCCTGCTGAAATCTTGATAAGAAATTGCTTTATTGTGTTTTTTGTGCTCCTGTCATCACAACCTATGGATTTCCATACCGGCCTACATCTGCCCATTTCCAAAAACTGAAAATACATGGAAAATCTCTTTGCATCCCCTGCACCTCTTGGCCTTTTCCCAAATCCACTGTTTTCTCCCTAATGGGCTCTGTTATTCCATACCCATTAGTAGATCCTCAAATGATGACATTTCGTTTTAATTGAAATCAAACATCTCATTCCATTAGGGAATTAGAAAACAAACCAAATTTTAATCGGAATTCATACAAGTCCAGAAGAATATTTTCCTCCCTCTGAGATTATCTTTCCGTGGAAATCGGAGGCATTTTTTGATGAAACTTATCTTAGTTAAGCTGCACTGAAATGGGTGAATTTAAGGTCCCCTCCAACCCAAACCATCTTCATGTTGACGCCATGAAGCTCAAAGGGATATAACAGAGGTTGCATTGAAATTCTGAATTTTTTTTTGCCTTGTTTTCCCGCTTTTTTGGAGGGAATGGGGAGTCTGATAAAATTTCCAAAGTGTATCTGCAAATCCATAAGTCCACTGAACAAGTGCACTCTCGTTCATGGATTTTTGGAAAGCCCCATTTAGATATCTTTTTACAGGAGTGACAACGGGCACAACCACAGCCCCAGACTGGAGCAAACTGGAGTCTGGTACTTTGCCATCCTGGTATTACAGTTTACAGACAGTGTAAAAATTCCTTTTGGAGTTCTGGAATATCAAGGTGAGACTTTTTGGCCAATTCCTGTACTTTTGACACCACTTCCAATGTTCACAGAGCATTTCAGCTTCCCAGGTGCTGCCCCGGCGAGGGCTGGGGGGCCCGAAGGGCGGGAAACCCCTCACGGGGGCTGCTGAAGGTTGCAGAGGCTGCAAAATCCTTTGAGTGTCTGCTGAGAAATGGTGAGGTAAAAAACACTTAAAAGGGTCTGCTGAGGGTTGGGTTGGGGGGCTGAGGGGTCTGAAACCCCTTAAAAGGGTTTGCTGTGTGTTGAGGGTCTGAAACCCCTGACGGGGTCTGCTGAGGCCTGGGGGATCTGAGGGGCAGGAAACCCCTCACGGGGCTGAGGGCTCAAAATGGCGGAAAACCCCTCACGGGGGCTGCTGAGGGCTGGGGGGGCTGAGGAGCGCGAACCCCTCACAGGGGCTGCTGAGGGCTATGGAGGCTGAGAGGCACGAAACTCTTCAAGGGTCTGCTGAGAAATGGTGAGGTGTGAAACCCCTAAAAGGGTCTGCTGAGGGACAAGGGTCTGAAACCCCTCACGGGGTCTGCTGAGGGATGGAGGGGGACACAAAATGGCATCTGATCATGGCTGGAGGGGCGAGGGGTCTGAAGCCCCTCAAAGGGTCTGCCGAGGGCTGAGGGGTCTGAAACCTCTCACGGGTTCTGCTGAGGGGCACAAAACCCCTAAAAGGGTCTGCTGAGGGCTGGGGGGGTCATGAAATCCCTCACAGGATCTGCTGAGGGCAGTGCGGGCCCCCCTCAAATGGGGGGCAGTGGGGACCTCCCTCGTGATGGCGGCAATGCAAATCCCCCTCATTCTGGGGGGCAGTGTGGATCCTCTTCATTATGGGGGGCAATGCAGACCCCCCCACGATGGGGGGGGCAGTGTGGGCTCCCCTCACGGTGGGGGGCAATGCAGACCCCCTCACGGTGGGGAACAATGCAAACCTCCTTCCCGGCCGGGGGCAGTGCGGACCCCTGTCACAGTGGGGAGCAATGTGGGTCTCCCTCACGGTGGGGCACAATGTGGACCCGTCTCATGATGGGGGGCAACGTGGACCCCCCTCATTAATGGGGGACAATGCGGCCCCCCCATTAGGGTGGGCAGTACGGACCCACATCATTCCGGGGGGCACCGCGGACCCCCTGATTAACAGGGACAATGCGCCCCCCCCATTCGGGGGGGCAATACAGCCCCCCATCATTCCGGGGGGCATTGCAGACCTCCATCATTAATGGAGCCAACGCAGCCCCCCCCATAATGGAGTCGGTGACGGGCACAGCGCGGCCCCAGCCCGGGGGCAGCGGCCCCTCTCCGCTGGGGGGCGCGGGTTCCCTCCATTCTTTGTGCAAGCCCGGCGCGCCGGTCCCGCCCGCTTCTCCCGCCCTTCCCCCTACTCCTCCTCCTCTCCTCCTCCTCGCTGCCCGTCACGGCGCGGGTTTAGAAGGCGCGGGCATTGCCGGCATGTGAGCGGCGGGCCTGCGGCGATGCCCGGGCGGGGCTGCGAGCGGCCGCGCTCGCGGGGGAGCGCGCTGCTCACCCGGACCGCCCCGCCCCGCGCTGCCCTAAAACTCGACCAACTCTGGGAACCGCCGGTCCCCGCGCCCCCCTGCTTCTGGTGGGTTTTCTTTTTTTTTTTTTTTGATTTGTTTGTTTGGGGTTTTTTTAAATTTTTTTTTTCGAAAGGGAAGACAAGTTCCCCGAGAGCCGCGGCGCCGCGACGCCCCCTCACATGTGTCTGGAAAAAACCAATAGGGCAAAAGTTGTCGGACCTTCTTTTTTCTTTTTCTTTCCTTGTTTTTTTTAATTATTATTTTTATATGTATTTTTTAATTTATAAATTTTTTTTTTGGCCCCCCAAATCCCAACAAAGCCAGGTGTAGGGTGCCTGTAAAAGCTGTGGAATAAGCCGGAGCGGGACTGACACTTTCCCTACTTTTTGGTGGTTTCGGAGGGTCACACACGTGTGAGACAATAAAGCACTTTGGCAGAAGATTCCTCTCTTTTTATTTTGATTCTTTTGATTCCTTTTCTTTTTTCCTTTTTTCCCCCCCCTTGGAATATTGTGAACATATTTGTGGCCATTTAAGGTAAAGTTCCGATTTGCTGTTAGACTAACTTGTCTGTGTATTTTTTTTGCTTTCATTTTTATTTTTTGATTGAAATTGTCGATCCCGATGTGTTATTTAAAAAAAAAAAAAAGAAAAAAAAAAGAAAGAAAGAAAGTGCAAGTTCCGGGCTGTTGAAATAGATATACATTGTGTATACATTGCATAGACACGGTGTAACTACACGTGTGAGAGATACACCAAGGTGCAAACGCCGAGCGCGGGGACTCGCTGCTTTATTTCCTACCGGAAAATGAAATCCAAGGAGTTGTTTTTTAGCGGTGTCGGGCCTGCGAGAGGAAAATACGGAATAAAAGTGGCAGAGGGGATGAGGGAAGCAGGAAGGGGAAGGGCGGGGGGTTGCTGGCAGCGTCCCCAAAAACTTGCGCGTAAATCCAAGCGGCTGCTTTGCAAAGTTTGCAGCGATGCTCCGGGAAAACGGGAAAGCTCGGGGCTGGGATCGAGCGAGAGGGCGGGAATAAACCGGCCCCGACAAAGCAAGGTTAGAGAGAGAAATATAAAAAACCCAAGAATACGAACGGGGAGCGGGCGATCCAAAGGGGGGAAAAAACCTTGTTCCTGCCGGCCAAGTCCCCGCGTCACGTGCGCCCGCGGCCCCGTATAAACGCGCTCGCCATGTGTGTGGCGCGACCGGGCGCAATCCAAAGTGGAATCCTTGGAAAAGTGGCGCGGGAGCGCGGCGGGCAGCTGCGCTTGCGGAGCCTCCATGAGCGGCGGCGGCGGGTACGGAGGGCTGCGCCGGGCTCGCCGGGTCCGGGGCCGGCGGAGCTGGGCTGGCTCCCGTGCCTCTCCCTGTCCCTTCCTTCCCTTCCTTCCCTCGGCTCCCCTCCCCCCTGCGCGCTGCCTTGCTGCGCCACAGGCCCAACCCGCTCCCGGCTTGTGCGGCTTATCCCCCCTCCTCTCCGCAATTAGGAAGTCGGGGCTATGATGGTGCGTCCCCGCTGCCCCCCCCGCCCCCGGAACCTGCACTTCGCAGCTCGCCGTGTCTTTTTTTTTTCCTCCTCTCGCTCTTTGCCGTTTCTGCCTCCAAAAGCTCCTTTGCGTGGAAGAAGGAGAAGGGAAAAAGTTGGGAGCGGATGGCTGTAGTTTCTTCTCTGGGATCCTCATTCATTCCTCGCTGAACCTCCTGTTGCATAAATGATGCTCTGGGAGCGAGGCTTTGCCTGTTTTTTTCTCCTCTGGATTTGGGTTTAAGAGTGGATGTTCCCGGGTTTCGCCTCTTTGGAAATACAATATCGCCTTTTTTTTTCTCTTGTTGTTGTGTGTTTTTTTTTTTTTTTTTTTTTCTGCCCCTCCATCTTTTTTTTCCCTCCCTCCTTCTTCTCAACCACCCACCCCCGACCCCCCTTGAAAAAAAGCAAAATCCGACTGTGTTTCCTGCAAGGCTCGGGATTTCTGATTGCGGTTATTTCCATGTTTCTAGGTTTGTGTGATTTTGCTAAAATGCATCACCAACAGCGAATGGCTGCCTTAGGGACGGACAAAGAACTGAGTGATTTACTGGATTTCAGTGCGGTAAGAAACAACGGTGGAAATTAGCAACAGCTGTTAAAAAAACCAAAATCTTCTAGCTGCTCTGTTAACAAAAAAAAAATCCAACCCTCCCCCCCAAAAAACCCCTAAAGCGACAAAACCAACCCCAAACTGTGCTCTAAGTACATTGGGCATTTTTTAATCAGCAGCTAGAAGCACAGTAAATATCTGTTTTTGCTTAAAAAAAAAATCCAAGCTGAGTGTTTGGAGTCTTTCTGATTGTGTGTGATGGGAGATGCAGGCGCGTTAGCAGCTTGGTTTCATGTCTCGGATGGCTCGAATAATTCCTGCCAAAAGAAACGCCCCGAAAACTGACCATTTCTCATCATTCCTCCATACCAGTATTGCACTTTTACCGTGCTTTAGATTTGCAAGCGTGGTTGGCACATGAACTAATTAATTGCTAATGAGTCGCTGATATTCTCCTTTCGGTTCTTCCCTTGTTTCGTTTTTTGGCACATGGAAAGTGCAAAGAAATCCACGACTGTCTCAGTTTAAAGTTTTCCCTGAAATCTCCTCTGGCTTCTGCTGGCGCTAAAGCTGCTCCGACCTTCTCGGCGCGGCCCTGGGCAGGGGTTTGGGGCGTTCTTTTCGCGGGGAAAAAGAGGTTTTTGTCCCCCTGGGCTGGTTTGGAGGCCGAACGTTCCGCCGGACGCGTGCACTTGTCTAGTTTTGTCAGGCTCCCCCTCCCCCTCCAGCCCCTTCCTTCCTCTCCCCATCCCCTCCCTTCCCCCCAATATGTCAGGAATATCTCTCTATCCACTTAGTTATTTATTTTAGGGCAGAGCTTTCGCTGGGAGATGCGGGGCCGCTCCTAAAGCCCGGCGAGGCCCCCCCCCTCTCCCGCGCGTGCTCCAGGCTGGTGCTGCCGCTCCAGCCTCGGCTTCCGAGGGATGGCTGCGGGAAGTTTGGCCGGGAATCGTAGCCCGCGGCAGCTCCGCAGCCCCCTCTCTGCTTGTCGGTGCACTTTTCCCATTTGTTCCCTGGCTTTTTGCAGGCTCTGACTCAGGGAAGGTGCGTATTATCCACCAGACGCGTCGGAGAAGGGAGAAACCAATTAGGGTCGGAATAAATGCTGGGAAGAGAGAGAGAGAGGAGCGCGAGAGAGGGAGGGAGAGGGGGCGAGGAGCGAGCCTGGCTTCCAATTGCTCGGTGGGAGAGACGGGATGAGAATTTAGGGCAGGTGGCACTTTGCATTATTATTATTTGGGTTCCCACATGCCAGGCAAATCCTGGAGCGGGATGGAAGTGGACGTTGCTATGTTGATGGCCAAGGTTGCGACCCAATCCCAACTTTTTCCGCCTTTGTCGGCAGGGAGAGCGGAGCCAGCCCCGCTTCCCAGGCTGGAGAGCTGCCGGGCACTGGGATGGCTCGAAGTCTTCGGGAAGGGCAGATTGTTTGGGAAGATAACGAGCCTGAGAAAAGCGGCACGCTGGTGGGGGCTGGCAGGAGTCTGCACTCGTTTGGGGGATGATGGTTCGGGGGAGAGAAACTCCTGAGGACCGTGGAAGGAACTTTGGACTGCCAGAGGACTCGGGAATCGCTTGTTTTCCACTAGTAACGCCTCTTTGTTTTTTTTTTAGATGTTTTCACCTCCCGTGAGCAGTGGGAAAAATGGACCAACTTCCTTGGCAAGTGGACATTTCACTGGCTCAAGTAGGTACCGTTTTTTGTTCCCTCTGTGGTGCAAATGCTGTGATTTATTTCTCCATGGGCTTTACCTTTGTTGTGTTGCTTTAATCTCTCGTGGGGAGCAGATCTGTTCGGATTGGAGCAGAATTATTCCTAAGCACCGGTTATGATTATTCTGATTTTTATTATTTCCACGAGCCTGGGAGGTTTTTAGAGCACTGCAACACATTCCTGATTTTTGAAAAACCCCTGAACTTCCCCTCTGTGTAACTGCTGTTGAAAATTGTTCTGGTTTGAAAGTAGGTTTATCTTTTCCCTTTTTTAATTTGAGCCTCGGAGAATTTTTTTTATTTCCAATTCCAAAGACTCTCTTTGTCTGGGAGGGATGAGAGTTGAAACCTCTCGCGTGCAAATGAATTTGGTGAGTCAGAACTGAAGCAGAATTGAAGCCGAATGGGAGGCTGCTGCAATTAAATATAGAAATCACAAGTATCCGAGGATAAAGGGCAGGAAGGGAAGCGTTTAGGATGAGAGAGGATGGAATATTTTTCATGAATGGAACCCTTTCGGTCACTTTTTCGAGCTGGGGCATTTTGCTTGTGAATATCAGAGCGTTGCAGAAGCAGGATTTGTTTGTTTGTTCTTTGGCTGTGGTGGGGCTGGATGGGCAAGTGCAGCATTCCCTGAAATCGGGAGTGGGATGACAAAGCGATCTCGGAGCTCTTGGCGGTGGAACATGTGTGGACAATAATTGTCTGGCAACTCCAGTTTTATAGGGAGGCTTTTATGTGCCTGACAGATGAGAAGGCAAACTCCCAGAGATCCTTATTGCCCATTTCCTTGCCCCGGGATGCAGTTGGTGTTCCTGCCCCAGCCCCAGGTAGGGAGCTGCAGTGTTTACAGCTCCACGTGCCAATGCTCCGGCCGTCGGCTCGTACCCGGATCCTGGGCAAACCAGGGGGGAATTCGGGCACGGCTTCCCTGCAAACTGCCCCTGGATATCTGCCTCGTTCCAAAGGGTTTCGTGCCCAATATTCCCAGCTTTTGCTCGATTCAAGGCACCCTTTCTCTTTATCCAGCACTTCATTAAATGCACTGGGTCATCAGTCAGCTTTTGATTTCCAGAGCAGGATTCCTAACTGGCAGTTGGTCTGCAGTGGAATGTTTTTTAAGCTCAGGTGCCACCTGAACACTCATTTTGTGCCTTTTATTCTGTGGAGCCTTTGGAAATAACACTGTGGGTTTGTTTTATCTCCCCAAACTTGGTTATGTTGTGCTTGCAGCGACTTGGAGAATTTTGCCGTTGGGGTTGAACAACTTTCCAAACACAAGCTGTAGATTTTAATCCCATTTTTTGCCATTTTGCGCCGTAATTTTCCGAGCCGATTTCGGTGGATATGGAATATCCACTCTATTTGTTTTCAGGGGAGTGTTTGTGCCAGACAAATCAATTTGTCACGCTCAGAGCCCGGGCCGTGCACAGCCACCACTTGGGCTGGGTGACCCCAGAGTTATATTTAATAATTCCATCCCAAGCCTCAGCTCTGGAGTCTCTTGGATCAGGAGGACAAACCAGAGCAGGGAGTGATTAAATTGTGTTTTATTGTCTCCACAGCTGAAAGGATTTGAGGAACTTTGACACCTCCTGTAGCCAAGGAGGATGATTTAATGAGCTGCAGGAAGTGAGGGTTAGGGAGATAAAGACCACTTAAAACAACACCTGAACTGTCCCACGGACAGAATTCCAGCAGAATTCCTTGTCCGCATCAATGCCTGGTGGTGGAGGAGGAAGGAGAAGCTTGAGGAAGTGCCGGGTGTTTGCACAATGGCAGCGCAGGGGGCTTCTGCAAGGGAAAATAACTGGAATTTTCCTCTTGGAATATCTATTGCTCGGTAATTCGACAGGGAATTTTGCAGGGAGTGCTCAGTGCTTCCCAAAAAGCTGGGGGCGATGCCAGGGGGGTGCGCGGCCTGAGGATGGAGGTGTGTGGCTATTGTCTGGAGCCCATGCAGGGATGGGATGAGCCAGGGCTTGGGAAATCGGGATTGCACGGATAACACTGGGATAACTGCTCCGAGAGGGGTTTCTGTGCTCCGTGGCAGGACCGAAGGCAGCTCCGTCAGTAATGGCAAACGTGGTTTATTATTCTAATGATGCACTTTGGGAACAGCGCGTTTGGGGAGCGGGAGGGATCCTGCTTTTCCTCCTGCAAGTTCTCCCTGGGAAGTTTGAGCCAGATTTTAATATTCCTCTTTAGGAATACGTTTATTGAGACGAGGAACCACAGATGTCATTGCTCTGCATTAACCTGGAACTCCTTATAGGGAGGATAAAGAAGGAAAAACAGAACCTCCAAAAGTAATGCCAGGCAGGGAAGTGAAACTAGCTGGACTCGAGGAAGTGTGGGAATAATTCCTGCTCCAAGTTGTCCCGGGGGCTTTTCCCTCAGCTAATCCACGACTCTCTGTTGTGATTTGCAGCGTGGGGGGGGAAAGAAAGTAAAGCCCCATTGCCTTTGAGTCTCGAATTCCACAAACATGGCTTCTCCCCGTGTTCCAGCCCGGGGAGGGCTGCAGGGAGAAAGGAATGTAACCTGAGCTCCAGCCCTGACATTCCCAGGGAGCATTTTTCACATGAAAGGCTTTTGTGAGCCCAGGGAAGGCCCAGCAGCGTGTTTGATGTGTGCAGGTGTTGGGCACAGGGCGCTCCGCCGGCCGGAGCCTCTGACCTGCGCCGGGAGAGCCGGGACTGGGAGCACCGGGGAGCCAAACTCCCCCGGAGTTCCCTCCGCCTTGGGTCGTGTTTGTGAAGTGATTTAAGAGCTGCTCCTTCCACTGAACAATGCACATTCATTGCGGGCACCTGGGGGGGGCTTTTGAGTTTTTCTGCTTTGTTTTCCCTTTTTTTAGGACGGTGGCCAAAAGAAAATGAATTTGCCCACATCACCTAAAATTTTGGGAAGAGTTTCCAACCCCTTCCCCAGCAAATTCATCACAAATTTATCCTACTTTGAGTGTGAGGCTCCATAAAATAAAGGGGTGACGGACCAGGGAGCAGTTTTGCCCCCGAGAATTCCCTGGGTCTGTCACATTCAGCTTATTTCGGGTTTTTATCCATTAATCAGGGCCCACATCTTCCTGATTCCCTTCGATTTCTGCTCCTTCTATTTAAAGCCTGGAATTTTACCTCCATTTGGGAGCATCTGCTCCGGATTGCCCACTCTGAGTGTCTCTGAATAGCGTGTGGGTGGCAGCAGAATCGGAGAAAAGCGGGATTTTTCTCATTGCCCATTCCCATGGCCCAGAAAAAAAGGGAAAAAATCTCCCATCTCTGCATCTCCCAATAAAGCAAAGTCTGTTTAAAGGATTTAAATCCTCACTTTTCATTTTGCCATTAGTTTGATTAGGGCTTGGCCTGCATTAGAGCAACAAATTAATACATCTTTAACGAGGGAATCACAAATCCAGCTCGGGTTAAAGTCCATTTTTTTTTTTATTTGGGATGTTCTGTGAGGAAATTCTGACAAATATTGTGGGGGGGTTTTAAGCACAGCCTGGTTTTGGAGTGTGGGGAAGCCGCAGAATTTTGCTGTTGGTGGTTGATCAGCAAAAAAATGGAATTAAATCGAGGCTTTATTCAGAGGATGTTTTGGAGCTGCTCAGGTGAGGCACACCTGGGGATGCCGGCATGGATCCCAGTATTCCCAGCAGAAATGTGTGCTAGGGAAGAAACCCCATACCAGAGAGAATTTGGGAAGGAGGGGATTATAATGCAGAATAGCCATTCAAGAGATAAAAAAGAGAGGGAAAATCCCCCAAAAGAGCAATTCTCAGCCTTTTGCCCCATAGTGCTGCACCAAGGAAGTGATGTGTCAGGTCCGGAGCTCTTGCCATTCCAGGGCAGGGAGCCCAGGTTTGCCACGGGATATGCCAGGAAAGAGGGAAAATGATGATGGGCTTTGGGTGTGGGCTCGGCTCCGTCGCTCCACGTTCCCTCCTTGGAATTCCGGGTCTCTGGGGGGCTGCAGGACCCTCGACCTCTCGGCCCCGACCCCGGCTCCCTGTGCCATATCCCTCTTGTTCTCCCTGCTGAAAACTCCGGGCTCCACAAAAGCGACTCCTTCCCTCTTTTCCATCCCCGAGGTTTCGTAATTATGATTAAGGAGAGCAGGAATGCTGTTGCCTCCCATCCTTCCAGCTATGTTTACCCGGGATCCTCCTCCTCTCCCAGCCCTATCCCGGCCGCTTCCGTGGGGGCAGCCAGAGCCCCAGGCTGTGCTGTTGGGAAGTGGCCTGAGCCCCCCGGAGCGGGAGGCTGACTTGCAGAGCACAGAGGTTCCTCTGGGGCTCGGCTCTTACTCGCAGGAGCAAACTGAGTGTAGCTGCCAAGGCCACTGCAGGGCTGCAGCCACCTGCAGTCCCTGGGCTGTGGAAATCTGGGAGCCCAGGGCCTGGCTGGTAAGGAAAGAGATAAAGCAGCCTGGCCATTCCCAGTGATAACGGAGACTGGGAGCTGGAGGTGCTTTGGGCAGCCTCGTTCCACGTTACCTCATCTGCAATAGATGTAATAAATCAGAATCCGCTCTGGGGCCGCAGCCACCCGAATGTCACCTGCAGGGGGGACACCCCTGCCTGCCCTTCCCAAATCCAGCAGCAGCAGGGATGCTGTTATCCTGTGGATATCAGGGATCTGGGAACAAAGTGAGGCCGTTAAACCAGGCAACTTGGGCCTGGCTTGGACTTCAGTGGGAGCACAAAGCCTGCCTGGGGAAAAAAACCATGGTACAATTTGACTTCTTCCCACTGGATTTGTGCTCGTGCTACTCCCAAATTCATATGGATTTTTGTCAGAGGCAAACGCAGCTTCCACGGCCCGAATTCCCAAGGAACATGGAATAGGCACAGATAACCCCAAATTTTCCTCTTTTACCACTTAGTTCTGCAGTAGCCAAAAAATAATGGGATTTAATTTTTTTATCACTCCCCCTCTGTAGTTTAAACAGAATTTGGGAATGACTTGGATA